ATGTCCAAAACCAGTAAGACATTTTATGACCCCAGTGCTTATGACGTATTTTTCACGCTAAAATATTGAATAAATTTATACAAAACTAAACTAACAAGTTGTACATGAAAACATTTTCGCTTTGGTTACTATAAGAGCTAATATTTATTATCAAGGGGCATCTGCTGTCGTTAGAAATGTCTCCAAGTTAAAATTTTTGCCTCAATTTATTGTAAGTGATGACTCAGACTCAAAAAATGCTTGGTAAGTAGGATGCTCAACCATAATTCCCGAGAAGTCCAAAGGGAGATATGAGAAAATCTTCCATCTATCTACAGCGTGGTGTAACAAGAACAATTTTGAAAATATCACAGAAAAGGTAATGCTAGCCTTTTTTGTTTCAACAAATGAAACCCTAAAATCTCCAGGAAGCTCATGGGCTGCATACTCTATGCTCAAAGCCACAATATTTTTGCATAGAGCTGTTGATATTTGAAAATGTCCTATAACGTGGCACATTTTCTGCTTTTGCTTTAGTTAAGAGGAAAAATATTGGACATAAAGTGAAAAAATCAAGAATCTTTGCCAGAGACACAATGTACAAGTTTCTGAATAATTTTTCTGATGAACTCTGTTTAAATACACTGTGTCTCAAAATTGAATATTTTTTAACGCGTTATTTTTGAGATTTTTGAGGTTAAAGGGTTTGAAAAACATGACCTTCGCCCTCAACTGGAAACTTCTAGCATTTTGTGAAAAAAAAAATATAAACTTTTGTACTCTTGAATATTTTCCGTATGTTTTTTTTAGTTATTTTTAAAAATATGTTATTTTTTTTGGAATTATTATTTTTTTTCAATCAAAACGTAATATTTTTAAAAATATGCATTCTAAACCGCTTAAACTTGTATCATGTATCGATAGCACATAAAAAATGTAAATAGTAGAAGATTTACCTTTAATTTTAAATCTCGCGAAAAATTCATAAGTTTTTGTACAGATTTTTTACCGAAAAAGCGAATTAATAGTTTTATTTTGATCATAACACTGCTAAGTTTTATGCTAATGACTTAAAATCAAGTTAATTTTAAGATTTTTTAAAGTACTTTAAAAAATGTTCTGTATATTTTTCTTGAAAAATATATTTTTTTAGTTATTTTATGTTAAATGCTTCCAATTTAGTTTCTACCGGACATGAAATTAGCTTCAACCCTATAAACTTCATTTTCTTCGTAATGTTTTTTTTCATACAATGTCTATTTATTTATTTAGTTTATTTTGCTTATATGACATTACATGAATGTATAGCAATGGTCAATATGATGGATAACAGTGGCCCACACAAAAATAGAAATATAGATGTACACACACAGTATACAATATACAATATGCACACTTATATACATATACACACACATATAAAATGCTAACAACAAAGTAAATTGTACTACAATTGATACAATTTGGAAAGAGAATAAAAACATTTAAGCCAATATGCTCAGGTGATTTCGATATAGCAGCATATTTTGTGTAGGGCAGATGGAATCGATCCTTTTGTCTCGTATTTAAGTGATGAATATCATTATTTGCTTTAAACTTTGTTCTATTTTTATAAACACATTTCTGAAATATATAATGAGGCAATAGTCATGAGATCAAAATCAACAAAAATTGTTCTGCAAGATCGTGTACTTGGAACACCGGCAATTGTTCTAATCACAAGTTTTTGTGAAACAAAAACAGCCTGCGATAAGGTGGAGTCACCCCATAAACGAATTCCATATCGTATTCGAGATTCTATTTGAGCATAATATACGTTAATTAACTGATGTTTAGTTAGGACGTCTTTAATGTTTTTAAAAAGAAAATTTGTGGAGTTTAATAAACTGACTAAATTTTCTCAATGTGGCATCCAATCCAATCCATATGTTCGTCGAGTGTAATACCTAGAAATTTTACTGGTTCCGTGATACATTTGAGGTATATATCATTAATCTTTAGAGATAAGGTTTCACAAATCTTTTGCCTATTGTGGAAACGAATTGTCCTAGTTTTTTCACTATTTAAATATAGGTTATTCATGTTGAACCAATTGTTGAGTGACTGCAAAACTTCAGTACATTTATTATTTAGACTTTCGTCATTTTTGTGCGATATTATTAACGAGAGATCATCAGCGTATAGGGCAAAGCAGATGTTTTCTAGTACCGAGTCAATGGCATTTATATACAAAATAAATAATAAAGGTCCCAGGATGGACCCTTGGGTACCAACTATTCTATACTTAGAGGCAACACATGATTGAAAGTCATCTCCACGATATTGTATAGATGTAAATTGTTTCCTACCATCAATGAAAGAAGAAACCCACTGCAAAGATTTACCTCTGATTCCATAGTCTGATAGTCGGCTAAGTAATATTTTATGATTTATGCAGTCGAATGCCCTGCTGAGATCACAGAATATCCCAACAGNGCAGGGGTCGGCAAGTAATTTTAGATGAGGTCCGGATACTTTTGAAAATTTTTAACGAGGTCCAGAAAAAAATCATATTTCTTATTTTTTTATTTTAATTAGAACTCAAATTTAATCTGCTTACTAACCATTAAGAACTGAAAACACTCACAAAATTGTAAAATACTAGAAAAAATGATAACGTTGGTACTCAAACGTAAAAAAACATTTTTTAAATAATTTTTTTGAGTAATTTATATTTTCAAAAAATTTTTGGCGGTCCAGTATTTTACCTTCCGCGGTCCGGACCTGGACCGCGGTCCGCCAGTTGCCGACCCTTGATTTAGACTTTCGTCATCTTTGTGCGATATTGTTAACGAGAGATCATCAGCGTATAGGGCAAAGCAGATGTTTTCTAGTACCGAGTCAATGGCATTTATATACAAAATAAATAATAAAGGTCCCAGGATGGACCCTTGGGGCACCCCTGTATCAACAATCCTATACTTAGAGGCAACTCATGATTGAAAGTCATCTCCACGATATTATATAGATGTAAATTGTTTCCTACCATCAATGAAAGAAGAAACCCACTGCAAAAATTTACCTCTGATTCCATAGTCTGATAGTCGGCTAAGTAATATTTTATGATTATTTATTATTTTCCGAGTTATTCGAGAAAAACTGCTGGAAAACGTCTTTTTTAATATAAAAAATGTACATTTTCAGTCACCAATAACTCAGAAAATATTGACATATCGAAAAATGTTCTTAAGATACTTTTTGCTTAAAACTGATTGCTTTATCGATTCCTGGGATTATTTTCAATATTTTATTTTTCATAAGGGGTGGCTTGCACCCCTTGGGCAAAATAGGCCAGTTATTATAGCTTTTTTTCGGGAAAAAAATACTATTAGAAGTTTCTCTGCGGAATATTGTTCGGAAACGTGTTATAAACAAAATATCAAAAAATCAACTCGAGACTAGTTGGGGAACTTTGTTAAAACAATGGTCAAAATTATGGAAAAGTGGTTTTTTGACTCGCGTAAAAAAATTGTTGTTTATAGAGAAAAAAGGTTTATATAATATATTTGTTTATGCGCAATAGCTCAAAAATGGTCGAAAATGTCCGCTTTTTTCAATTGCTAATAATTAATACAATTTTCATCGCAGACACTTGTAATTCAAGATTTTTGAGGCTTTGTGTACACTTAATAAGTGGTAAAAATTTCAGCCCGAAAGCTTCATTAGCTTGGCGTTGGCGGAATTTATTATCTAAGAAGATGCTATTTTCGATTCATTTTTCTCAAGCTCACAGGTGTTGTAGAGTTTCGATCAATAGTTGTTTTTGTACCTAAATAGTTGTATTGACCTATGCATTTACTGACAATTTAATTTTTCAAATTTAATTTGTTTAAAAATGACTGAAAAAATGTTAATATTTATTACATCGTTAAGCGCGCATGCTAAGCCTCGCCTTCCCCACTCGTTCGCTAGACCAAGTAATAGAACGCATCGCCGCTATCTTCTTTTTCGAAATTAAATAGTTGAATTCACCTTAATGTTAATGTAGGACATGAAAATATAGCTCTTAATGTATACTCTCTCCAAATTTCGGCTCTTAATATTAATAATTAAGGTCACTGCGATTAAATAAATAAAAAAAATTATCTCAGCTTCTAATCAACTTACTACAACGATTTTTTTTTAAATTCGAAGAAAACTAAAGTATAGAGGTTACTATTTTATTTTATAATAATTACCTATCTTAACAATTTAATAAATATTAACATTTTTTCAGTCATTTTTAAACAAATTAAATTTGAAAAACTAAATTCTCAGTAAATGCATATGTCAATACAACTATTTAGGTACAAAAACAACTAATGATCGAAACCCTACAACGCCTGTGAGCTTGGGAAAAATGAATTGAAAATAGCATCTTCTTAGATAACAAATTCCGCCAACGCCAAACCAATGAAGCTTTCGGGCTGAAATTTTTATCACTTATTAAGGGTGTAAAAAGCCTCAAAAATCCTGAATTACAAGTGTCTACGATGAAAATTGCACTAATTATTAGCAATTGAAAAAAACTGCCATTTTCGACCATTTTTGAGCTCTTGCGCATAAACAAATTATCCGAATTTAATCGAACTTGTCTCATTTTAAAGGTTTATTTAATACCTACCTTTTTTGTCTAAACCTCTTTTCGCTATGAATAATAGTGTTCTTACGCGAGTTAAAAAACCACTTGAGTGTGGAAAAACGAATATGACAGTTCAAAAAAATGCAAAAAATTATTTACCTTAAAATTGTTGTTTATTTTGTAAAATTGCAGACAGGACCAAACTGAACCGACTGACAGGAACACTATAGCTTTGTTCCTAGAGCAATCCTAAACAGTTTCCAACAATCAGACGCATGCGCATTTCGACATAAGGCTTATATAAGGGTGAAAATTCACTAGAAACAAAGCTTATAGGTACTATTTTCACACCACGGATGGTACAGACTCTAGATGGTAAGTGGTAGTGATCTACACTGAACGAAACATCAAATAGACTTACCGGTATCTGCACGAAGGTCCCATTATTCAGCACGGGATGCGAGTAGAGCGGCACAACGGGCACAGAACCGTTCTTAATAAAAATGGGGCCCTGGATGGGCGTCACCGGGTAACTTCCCGCCTCATCCTCGTCCTCGTAGTCATAGTCTATGACGGCGTGCACGTTCGTCTTCGTGCCGTCGTCGGTCACTTTCGTGTATTCTGGTCCGGGTTGCTGCTGGTGCGTCTGCGCGTTCGCGGGCACCTGCGCGTTGAACTGGTGCTGTTGGGCGTTGAACTCCTCCGCCAGGAAGGGCTTCTGAGGGGGTGGGTAGGAGTAGGGGCCCTGCAGAGGGGGCAGAGGCTGCGGGGGACGGTAGTAGTTGGTCGTGGGGGGGTTGGGGGTGGCCAGGTAGGGCGTGCTGAAGTTGAGAAGAGCGGCCATCTTTCTTCCTCTCTTTCTCCTCGGTTAGGGACGCGTGGAGGGTTTCATCTTTCGAAAATCACGACGCTGACCTTGAAAGAAATAGACATTAGGTGGGGTGATGTCGGCGGAGATGGTGGAGGGGGTGAGATGGTGTGTGGCAATCGTTATGCATTTAAATGTGTGTATATATTTTAAATAGGTAGCTTTTGAAGAAAAAATAGGGACAAAAAAGTCAAATTTGAGACATTTATGCCTAATTTTTCATTAAAAACACTCGTCAATTATAAATTGTTATATGAAATGGGACGAAAAATGTTAAATAAATAAGCAGACGTCAAAAAAACAAAAACATATTCATTTATAATATCATCTATGCTTAAATTGTATCCAGAAATTTTTTCAAGGTCACGAATATTTTGGAATAAAATTAAAAATCTAACCTGACATTGCGCAGTCGAATAATCGAAATCAAAATTTAGAGAAAGCCATGTCAGATTTATTATTGTTGTTACGTTGGCGTTACCTACACACCCAGTAAAAAAAGTTAAGGGCCGCCACTGGCAATTATGTGCAAAATGAGTTAAAATCACGTTTTACAGCATAATTAATCTTATAGCTGTGCCTAAATAATTAAATTAAGCTAGCAACAACGTGCGTATTGACTTTTGTCAACATTAAAGACTAAAAATACCACAAGTAGTGACGTCACATATACAGTCGCAGTATACATCCTAGGTTCAACCTCTATAGCTTTATAGAACTGAGTCAGCGTTGCCAATAGTTAAAAAATTGCTTGATTTGGATGTTAATATCCATCGGCCAACTCTTACTATTACGTGCCAGTACCGAGAAGAGAACAAACAAGGCGGAAGCCCTCCCCATGCCGCCAACAACGGCGTCTTTGTTTTATTAAAAGCGATTTTGTACACACGACAATTAGCCTATAAAGAGACGTTTTTTGCAGCGTACACTTTCAATCGTCTCAACTTGAACTTTCAAGAATTATGTCATAAAATGTCTTATGTGATATTTAACAAGCAGACGAGCTAGGTGGCTGTGGCGAACGGGGGAGGTCGGAGACGGAGGTTATGCCAAGGCTTCGGCGGAGATGGTCAAACGTTGAACAGTCTAGGATTTTGTTGCGTTTAAGCGTTGGTGTTCCTCAGGTTCCCGCCTTGGGCCTGTATTTTTCTCAGCACGTATTTATGACGTTTTTCCACTTTTAAATTTTTAATTTTTCTCTGTTTAAATTTTTTATAATAATTTGAGGGAAAAAATCAAAAGGGCCTTGCTTTTATTACAGTTCTGTCAAAGTATGCATTTGTTTCAATTAGCCTACTACTAATTCCAAAAAGGTACACTACTTTATATACAGGGATGGCCAGAAGTACGAAATAAAATTCATATCTTTTGCATGAGTTAATTTTTCTTAAAACGCCGAAACACGTTAACTGATTTTGATTTTTTCCCATCTTTCGGTTATATAATAATTAATTTCTCTTCAACCCCCTAACCCCCAGCTACCCCTACTTTTTTTTCAAATTGAAACATAAGGCATGAGGGGGCTCGTTGAAAAGCTTATAGAAAACCGAATCCAGCCATACCAAATAAACAAGTTTTATTTTTTCAATAGCAAGGTTTTTAGGGTTGTATAAAACACCTACTTAACAAGTGAAATAAAATTTAATTATCTTCAGTGTTATCCTCCATGAATTTGCACAGAATAAAATAAAGAATTTGAAACTGTACCTATCACTGCTAACGCAAAAAAGATATATTTTTTATGTTGCGTTTTTTTGGCACCACTTACTTGCCAGGCTTTCTGGTTAATTTTTCGCTTTAGTTGTAAATTGGAGTTCGAAACGTTACTATTGTGTCAAAATCAAGTTATTTACTGAATTGCAATGGTATTGTCGGAAAGGCAACGCATCGAAATCTTGATATTGCTTGGATGTGGAGACAAAATAAGAAGTCAGGCTGAAGTGCGCGATTTATTTAATGCGAAATATCCCGAAAACCAAATCTCGCAAGGGACAGTTAGTAAAATATTTCACAAATTTGAGGAACACGGTACAGTACAGACTTTGCCCAAAACTGGACGGGCACGTGCTTTGAATGAAGAAAAGAAATTAGACATTGCATTAGAACTTGTTGAAAATCCTCATACTTCAACTGTTTCATTGGCCCGCAATCACGATGCTTCTCGAACTGCAATTCGAATGTTTCTGAAACAAGAGAAATACCACCCCTATAAGGTATGTCTTGTCCAAGAGCTTTTGGAAGACGATTATGATAGGCGATTACAATTTTGTGAGGAAATGATGAGACGGTGTGACGACAATAATGGTTTTCAACGAGACGTACTTTTTTCGGATGAAGCTACGTTTTATTTAAATGGAGTGGTTAACAGGCACAACTATCGCTTTTGGTCCCAGGAAAATCCACACTGGACATGCGAATCGCATACGCAGCATCCACAAAAAGTTAATGTATGGGCAGGTATCATCAACAACAGAATCTTGGGCCCATTCTTTTTTGAAGAAAATCTTACTGCCGCACGCTACCTGGATTTCCTAACATTTGACCTGATACCTGCTCTAGCTGTGATTTTCCCTCATGAAATTGATCCAGATATACCGAATGAAAGAATTTGGTTCCAACAAGATGGCGCTCCCCCACATTTTGGTATTGATGTTCGAAGATACTTAGATGAAATGTTTCCAAATCGCTGGATTGGTAGACGGGGTACAGTTGAATGGCCGCCAAGATCCCCCGACTTAACACCCCTGGATTATTTTCTTTGGGGATATTTGAAAGAAAGAGTCTACCAGGACAGACCGGATAATATTGAGAATTTAAAGAACAAGATTAGGGCGGAGATGCATAATTTACCAGCTGAAGTCATTCAGAATGCTGTGGACAGCTTTTACTATCGTCTTGGAGAATGCCAAATAGTGAATGGAGGACATTTTCAGCATTTGCGACATTGAGTTTATTTTTGTAAATTATCTAGTTGTTTCAATTTCTAAATGAAAAAAAACTTGTTATTGAAAAAATAAAACTTGTTTATTTGGTATGGCTGGATTCGGTTTTCTATAAGCTTTTCAACGAGCCCCCTCATGCCTTATGTTTCCATTTGAAAAAAAAATAGGGGTAGCTGGGGGTTAGGGGGTTGAAGAAAAATTTATTATTATATAACCGAGAGATGGGAAAAAATCAAAATGAGTTAACGTGTTTCGGCGTTTTAAAAAAAAATTAACTCATTCAAAAGATATGAATTTTATTCCGTACTTCTGGCCATCCCTGTACATATAACTATGCGGGGGGCAGTTTTTTGGGGATAATAGTATGTGTTCGCCGAATACACTTACTTTTTCGTGAATTTTCGGACACCCTTTATTAGGAGCTTTGCTTTTTGTGGAGGTTAACCGTTCGAAATGAAGCCAAGACATTATTTTGACAGATCCAAATCGATTTATTAAATTAAACGGCAAATAAATTGCACAAAAACCTCATAAAAACCTGTTCGATTTCGGAACGGTGATTGTAGATAAATTTAATAACTACGTTAATAATCAAACGCGACTCGGCAAGCGATTTTTTTCATCCGGCACCGATTAGATTGCTACAGAGACAGTTCTGTTCCAAGTGCGGTCGTTATGGGAATCGGTGCTCTTTACTCGTGGAAGACATCGTCGCTCCCTCGTATGCGATTCGATGTGGTTAAATGTTTGAGGCCGTATAATCGACAAGTGTTTTTGCGGGGAGATTTTTTTAAATGGCAGCGGCTTTCTGGCGGCGTGACCAGCACTTTTAGAAGTGTATGTCGCTAAGTAAATCTTTTTTTTTGTGGATTGGCGTCGCTAACTTTTCAATAAATCTGAAATGTCGATAATAACTTCTAATCTAGTCATTCACAAATTTGAATGAATTTTTAATCTATCTGTTGCCGCGAGCAGCAGATGAATTAAAAATTATGTATTTGTTAAATTAAATATTTAATTTCATTTATACGTCGGCAGAGTCTTTAAACAATATACAGGGTGTCTCACGGTGAGGGCCCATTAGAATTATTTCAGAGACAACTACTTCGATTTGAATTTTGAAAATTTGGGATACCGGGTTTTCGGGCATGCCCTTCTCAACTAAAATAATAACGTCCACGTACCACTTCCGGTTATACCGGAAGTCGCCATCAACTTGCTTATTTTAAATTGAACGCTCTCCCTATATATTATTGCAATTTTGAATTCTACGTGTTATTTCAGGTGGACTTTTATGAAGTTTCCCTATTCCTAAAATTAACCGTTTTCGAGATATTTAATTTTTTTTTAAACCATGTGTATTTTATAGTAAGAAATATAAAGCAAAAATATTTATAGGGGGGATAGCTAGACTCCTAAGCTTCCCATCCATACTTTCAAAGTGGCTTAATTGCATACAGGGTGCTAGAAATTTAATGCCGAGTTTAGTTAACTTCAAACCTTCATAAGTCTGTTTCTTTAATTCTTTTTCTATATTCTCATACACAATTTTATTCTCTTTCGAACGGTATCAGGGTTCCCTATACCAATCTTTTCCAGTTTTTAAGTTATCTACATATTTTTGTGTAATCGCCTAAAATCATGTAATTTCTTGCGAGGATAGCTGTGGAATTTTTAGAAAACTTCAAAACAAACAACTAAACTGTCAATTTGTTGTTAGTCTCTTGCAGTGACAGTTTTATTTAGTGTTAAGAAATGGAAAACAATATAACGAGCGTTCAAATAAAAACGTGGTCAAGTTGGTTCTGAAAATTTCGACGTAGGGCGTAGCGTATAGCAAATGAACTTAAACGTCATCTGTCAAAGCGCTATATCACCGCTATCAATTTGAATATTTTCGTTTTAAAAAGCGTTTAAAATGGTGTTTTCTCAAGAACAAAAAGTGTTTATCATAGAGTCCTACTTTAGAAATGGACGCAAGATTGATGGAATATGGAAGTATTCTATTGAGGAATGTTTCATAGAATTTCAAAATCAATTTCCCGGCGTTGTTGAGTACAAAATTTTTCAAAGTGCAGTTCAGCGTTGTGTTAATGTTTTTCGTG